GAGAAGGATGCCAACACGAATGTGCGTGAGCTTGCGTGGCTGCACGCGCGGTTCCCATGCGCACCCTTCACTGGGCGCTCTTCCCCGTGAGCACCGTGCATCATGCTAGTGCGCAACCCACTCTAACTCTCGCAACGGTGAATGTGCGTTTGCGTGCGCGCATGCGTGCGTGTTGTTCCACGTGTGCGTGTATTCAAACGAATCCATTCTGAACGTGACCCGTAACCACGTTTCCGTGGTTTGGACGCAGCCGCGGGCTCGAAGGAACCAGACGCAGGTGAGCGTGTGTGTGTGTGTGTGGTGTGTCTGTGTGTGCGTGTGCGTGTGTGTGTATTTGTGTGCGTGCGTGTGTGTGTGTGTGTGTGTATCTGGAAGGTGGCGATGAATGCGACAGCCAATTGGGGAAAAGAACGACCCGGATGATGATGGTGATACCGAGAATGATGAACACGAATAAGATGGCGATGTGGTCTTTGAGTTAACACGTACTGTTAAGCATGCAGGCGGGGATACGAGGAGCCGCAATGGTAAACCAGATGGACATTTGGTAGCGGAGAAACAATCTAACGCATATAACGATGATGACGGGGGTGATGGGTACGGAAGGCCACGAAGATGAAAGATACTGAAGAATGATTGAATCATGCCTCTGGCGCAACGTGCGTAAGCAGAGCGGGAGGACGATGGCGAGGCGAATGCGGATCATAGCGAGGAGGCAAACGCATTGGCACAACACCTTGAAAACGGAGGAGGACCAAAGGAAAGAGGAGGCGGACGGCGGACGATGAGGATAATATTGAGGAGGAGCAAGCGACATACAAGGCTAAGGAAGAGGATGCGCTGATTGAGCGAGAAAGCTACGTAGAACAAAAGGGCAGAAGGATGAGGAAAAAGAGGAATAGGGGTAGAACAGGGAGGCATGGTCGCTTAGGCACTGCGTCTCAGAGAGCGAAGGACAATCCCTGCAGGGCAACGATCGATCTCGCTCGGCAGACGGCATGCAAGAAACCAGGCTCTGGCGAAACAATTCGGGCAAGCGGCCCAGACGTGGCGTATGGGGAAGCCCAAAGCGGGCAAAGCGAGGGTAGGGCGAGCGCGCGATAAAAGAAGGCAAGGAACAGGGAAGGGGAAGAGTCCGGCGTACAACTCCGAAGCGATGCAAGCTCATCTTCACGATGCTGAACGCCTGCCCCCGCGCGTAGCAACGGGCCGAACCTGGCATCACAGAGCAAAGAGGCGCGATAGTCAGAGGAGGCACCATCAAAGCACGCAATGGAAAAAAGGGCGCACGCAATCGGACGCTCAGAAAGGCTCGCTTTTGGCGCGAAACCTCTAAGTACCGCAAGACGGTCCGACCTGACCGCGAGGCTGTCAATGTTTCCGCAGACAACCATGTCGGAAATGTCGTTGACCATCTTGTGGCGGAGACGGGCGACTGTCATCGTCCGCTTGACCGCCTGGGCTGCGTTCTCCGTCTCCAGGGCCATGCCCTCCATCTCGCACATAAATCCCCCCGCAACCCTGACGAGATGTTGGGTCGCCCACCAGGGCCACCGCGTGCGTCCTCATCGCCAATGCGTGTGCACGAACTTGGGCGAGCTGCTCCTGGTGGCGCACGTCCTCCTCCGCCAAGGTGTTCAGCAATATCTGGGCGGGGTCAGGGCGAGAAGGAGTCATCTCCGAGAAGTTTCGCTGCTCCGCGTGCTTGGTCAGCTCATCCCATGCCTCCGGGACCAAGTACATGCGCTCTGCGGAGATGCCTGCAGCTCTGGACATGTCGGTCTCGACGATTGTGGGCTCCCCCTTGGCGTCCTCGATGGTTGCGTCGGAGATGGTCTCGGTGATGGAAAGCGGCGTGTACTGGTACGTACCCCTCACTCTTCGTATCCTTCATCTTGCCGGGCGTCGTTGCGCCTCCCCCACCGGATGCCGAAGTTCCTGCTGTGTCTCGGCGCCGGTGACTAAATCCCGCGGGGGCGCCATGAAAGGTCGATATCTGCCTCGGCTAATGGATTGTTGTGCGTGGCGAAGTACGACGGCTGGCTTGTCAGCGGTCAGGTATTGCCACTGTCACAAGGTAGATCCCCTGGTCAGTGATCGGGTCCGCCGAGATTTCCTCAATCAATACGTCCTCCGACTCCGCGGTGGCGCGCGTGGCCTGTGGAAGCTCCGCGTGGTCGTCCACGAAGCGCACGAAGTCTCCTGCAGCCTGCAGCATCTCCTCGAACTTGGGGGCCACGAAATACGGGCTCACGGCCATGACGGGGGTGTCGTGAGAGCTACTGCGGGGCATCCTCTTGCTGCGATCACCCACGGCCTGGGCGGCCCACTGGGTCACCAGCGCGCCCAGCACCAGACGAGCCCTCGTCGAGCACCACAGCTGCTGGTGGAGGATGCGCACCTCCGTCTTCATGGTCTTCACCTCGTGGTAGAGGTCCTTCGTGGCCCGACGAGGCACATCACGGGCGCTGCTGCTCACGAGTTGTTTCACTGATGACATAGGCGAAGCTGGCAGAAGCCACGGCAGCCTGCCAGGGCGGGCGCAGCAGACATGACGCGGGCGCTGTCTCTCTCAGTGTATGGACGGGCTGCCTCACCGAGCCCGCCCAACGCAGAATGAGGTGAACCAACACGGACAAGGAGGCACGAGGTCAAGCAGGAGGGATGGAGGCAGGGACGAGGGAGGAGGACGAGGTCCGGACCTCTTCCCGACGCACATCCTCCCCACTCCTCCTCACATCCTCCCACTCCCTCCCTCCGCTTCCACCCACACGCCCACCCGCACCCCCCCCCCCCCCCGTCCCCCCCCCCGAACCACACACACACACAACCCCCCCCACCCACACACACACACACACACACCCACACACACACAAACAGACACACAAACACACGCACACCAACAAACACACACACACATACACACACACGCACGCACAAACACACACACACACACACACACACGCACACACACACATACACACGCACACACGCCCACACACAAACAACACACACAATCACACACACAAACACACACAAACACACACACGCACACACACACACACAAAACACGCACGCCCGCATGCACACACACACGCACACACACGCACACACACACACACGCACACACGCACACACACGCACACACACACACACACAAACACGCACATACACACACACACACACACACGCACACACACACACACACACACACACGCGCGCACGCACGCACGCATGCACGCACGCACACACACGCACATACACACGCTCATATAACCTCATGCCCGTGAGAATAAACACTAGGGGATACTAAAGTTCGGGGTTCAGGGAGAGATAATAAAAGTAGCCCAGCAGACCTCAGCATAATCTCGAAGTAAGAGATGATCAAGAGGAGACCAAGCCGAGCACGTTTTGAGACATCCTTGGCGTTTAGTTTTCATAGAAATATCCTCAACAATGGCTTATCTCTCATGAAAATTGTTTTTTTTGTAAGTGCTCGTGTAGGGTAGCTCATGTGCCTCAATTTCCATGGATAATCAACCCCATAGATAAAAAAAGTTCAGGCGAGCGTGGGGACAGAGAGAAATATAAAAGAAGAAGAATACAGTAGAATAATAAAAAGAAAGAAGAAGAAGAGGATAATAAGAAGAGGACGAAGAAAGGAAAAATCCAAAGTTCCAAATCTATCAATTTTAATTTACAAACTCTTTATGAAAATTGTTTTTTTTAAGTGCTCATGTGCTTCATTTTCCATGGATAATCAACCCCAGGGATAAAAAAGTTCAGGCGAGCGTGAGGACAGATAGAAATATAAAAGAAGAAGAGGAAAGTAGAATAATGATAAGAACATTGCTCGTTTCGTTTGAGTCTGCCTCCCAAAATTATTGGTTTCGCTTGACACATCCTGAAAAAGTGTGATCGCTTCGCTTGATGTTGCTATATCAACATCGCTTGATGTTGCTATCTTAACATAGCGTTTCGAGGTGATAATGAAGTTCGGCCTCAGCGCTCGCCGCCCAATTTGAATATTGTATAGGGCGACGATAATCAACTCTAAACACTGAAGGGGGGGGTCCCTTTATTATCATCGGCATGCGGTTACACACACACACGCACACACACACGCGCGCACTCTTCTGCTTAGCCTCCACTGGAGATCAGAAAACAACGAGCACCTTCTGATCATGATGAAGAAACATACATATGAGCCCCCCTCCCCGTTGGATCCCCTCCTTGAGCGTACTGTTTGTTCTCCGCCTCTTCTCCCCCCCTCCCTCCCTCTCTCCTCTCTCCTCCCCCCTGGCGCGCGCGCGGGAAAGTCCAGGGCGGAAGGCGGGGGAGGAGGCAGGAGCTGAACCGAACCCTCCAGCCTCCATTTTGTGCACTGCGCGGACTCAAGGTACTAGCCAGCAGCGCGTTGAGAGACGAAACGGCCAAGAGTCATGACAACTTCTGTCGACTAAGGCGAAGTTCACAACAAGTTATACGGGGCAAGCGCAAAGTTGAAAAGGAACTAGGCGTGAACATCAGAATTGACAACTAAGCCCATGCCGCCTCCTCGTTCTCCCTCCTTCTCCTTCCTCCTCCTCCTCCTCCTCCTTCTCATCCTCCCACTCCTCCTCCTCCTCCTCCTCATCGATCCCCTTCCCCCTCCGTCCACCCGCCCTCTCGCACCTGCCTCCTCCCCCTGCACACCTCCTTCCTCCGTCTCGAGCCCAGCCCCGTGGCCGAGACGGCGCATGCCTGAGAAACGCCCACAACGGTCGTCAACTCAGCCCTGAGATTTCAGACGTCAACTCGACCCCAAGACAACCTTCGCTCAGGCGAGAGCAACAGTCAATTCAACTCCAGCACTTCGCTCGTCAAGACGAGTGGAGCCGCCAACTCGGCCCCGACACTTTGTCCGTCAAGACCGAAGCCGTTTTCTAACATCAGCTCGGCACCGACGCCTTTTTTTCGTCGAGACGGAGGATGCGGCGAGGGGGCCGTCAAGGGGGCTCGTCCACTCGGGGGGAGGCCGTCACGGGGGCTCGTCCCCCCATAGGGAGGCCGCCAAAGGGGCTTGTCGAGGGGGTTCGTCAACTTGTGGGGAGGCTGTGAAAGGCGTTCGTCAACTCGAACAGAGGCCGTCAATGGGGGATCGTCAAAATGGAAAAGGGGGCCGTCAAGGGACAATGGGGATTCGTCAACTCGTTGACGGCCAAATCCCGTCACTAAGACAAAAATGGAATGGACGGCTCAGACACCGGATATAGTATACATGGTCATCCGTCGTGACGTCCAGGCCCACCTCCAGACGTGCCGCCCGCGACAGACGCAACCTCCGTCCTCCCCCTCCTCCTCCTCTTCCACCACCTCGCACCTGGATTCTAAATCCTCCTCCTCCTCCTCATCCTCCTCCTCCTCCTCCTCCCCTTCCTCCTCCTCCTCCTCCTCCTCCTCCTCCTCCTCATCCTCCACCTCCTCCTCCCCCTCATCCTCCTCCTCCCCCTCCTCTCCTCCTCCCCTCCTCCTCCTCCTCCCTCCTCCCCCCTCCCCCTCCTCCCTCTCCTCCCGCTCTCCCCTCCTCCTCCTCCTCCTCCTCCTCTCCTCCTCCTCCTCCTCCTCCTCCCTCCTCCTCCTCCTCCTCCTCCCTCCTCCTCCTCCTCCTCCTCCTCCTCCTCCTCCGTCCCCCTTCAGCCCCGGCGCGCGCAGAGGCAGAGCTTGACGTCGGCTCGGAGGCTGTAGCTGGGGCCCTCTGCTCCGCGCGATGGTGCGGCGAGAAGCTCGCCCACACACGGCAGGTTCGCGCGGCGTCGGCGCGCGCAAGATTGGAGGCTTGGAAATGACACCAGAGAAAAACCCCAATCAATGGATAGTCTTCGCTGAAGAGATCGACCGGCCACCCGCGAGGCCAACAACCCAGAACCCACCGAAATCGGCCCGGAACCAATAACTGGGAACCCGGGAACCCGGAAACGGGAACCCGGGAACCCAGCCTGCTACCAGAATCGGCGGGAAAATATCGCCAAATCTTCACCTTACGCCAGGACCCCTTCAGTGCAAGCACTGATTGGGGTATGAACACCAACACCGAAAGAGTGAGCGTTTTCTCATCTGGTGTTTCGACACTGGGCGGAAAGGGAGGGAGAGTGGAGGGGTCTGGCTCCGGACCTCTGCTGAGTGCGACTGTTTGCAGCAGTGCGGCCGATGGGGGAGGGACCCCACCTGCTGGCAACAGGCGCTAACACACAACCAAGATCTATTCCACGGGTGGGGGGGAGGGGGAGTGCGAGGGCTGGCGCCGATCGGCAAAACAATGAATAAAGAAAACGCCCACAAGCTTGGGAATGAACGCCAACACCGAAATATGGGATTGCCTCCACCGAGGCAAGATGATCATAGAGATGTTGGCGCTGGTGGTAATGCTTCGGTCGCCTCGGGCGCCAGAGTGTTTTGCCACCGTTACCGGGATCGGGATCACCTTCCCTCGGTGGAGGCACGTCGCCGATATGGGTGTTCGTGTCGATTTCTAGGCGTCCGACACAAGATTTTGACACCGCCTCGATCGCTCAACATTGAATCGATCGCGGCCCCGATCGTCCAAGGTTGAATTGCGTCGGGTCCTGTGGCGTTGCCGTGCCCCTCGGTGCTTCCACGCCGCTATAACATGCGGAATTCAACCTTGAACGGACTCGCCGGCGTAGCCGTCGCGGCATGAACCTGCCGTAGCCCCAGGATCCCCCAGGGGCGACCGAGGGCGCCCTTTGCCAGTCAAGAAGCCCCCCCCCTCCACACGCCCGCCTCCAGGGGCCGCGCATGACGACGACGGAGGAGGCGGGGAAAGGCGGATGGAGAGGGACGGAGGAGACGGGGAACGACGGATGACGATGGCGACGACGGGAAGGAGAGAGGCGGAGGGAGAAGACGGCCACGACAACGAGGACAACGACGAGGACGACGACGGTCGCTGACGAAGATGGCGATGACGGCGACGACGACGAACACGACGACGACGACGACGACGACGACGACGACGGCGACGACGGCGACGACGGCGACGGCGACGACGACGACGACCGATGGCGGCGATCGCCTCCGAGTGGAAGGCCCCGCTCTCGGCCAGAGCGTAGCCCACGCCGAAGACGAGGAGCACCGTGGCGACCCGCAGGGCGGGGAAGAGCCCGGGAGGCAGCTGCGGGGCGGGGGGGGGAGGCGGGGCAAGGGGCGGGCGGAGGAGGGAACACGGAGGGGAAGACGGGGGGAAGGGGAAGGGGGGGGAGGGGGGCGGTCATGAGCGGAGAACATGTCCGTATCCGCGCCCTCGCGATGTAGATTCCAGGGCGCAATCCCGCGGATACGGGGTCGCACGGATACATTCCGCGCGGGGCATCCGCGAAAGCACGCCCCGTATCCGTGGGGTGGCGGCCCAGGGGCGTGGCCTGCGAGGCCGCGGATGCGGATACTTCGCCCACGAGGAGGGGAGGGGAGGGATGGGGGTGGGGAGAAGAGGGAGGAAAG